ATGGTAGATCACCTACAATGTATTCACGTGGTTCCCTTATTTTATGTGAACCCCCCCCAATACACAATAGGTGATCTACCATCGAGTAAAATTGTGTGAAAAATATTAAAGAGGATCAAATTTGGGTGGCAGATAAGTTTGAAAGTTTGATTGGATGACACAAGTTTTCTTTTCTATTTATTTAGCTGAAAATTGTGCATCTTGCTTGACTAGTATATTGTCGACCCATAAAAAAAAAAGCTGTTATTTTGTTGACCAAATATAATTAATTAAGGACAAAGAGTTACGTTAATAGAATATTACATCTAATGACAAACATGTAGTGACAAATAAATTATGTAGGGCAGGTGGTGTCTTATGGGTAGGGACTCTTTATTGGAAGTCCAATTCTTTTTTTTTTAAAAAAAATAAAAACAAATAAAATTGTAGGGCAAGTCATCAAGATATTAAAACAAGATCGCTATCCGAAAAAAATAAAATAAAAATTGATAGTATTTTTTAATTCCCCTTTCTTCGATGATAAGGTGGGATTAAAAATAAGCTCAATGAACATGAACAAGAAATTTCACGAATTTATTTTTGAATTATTTGAGATGTTGTAAGAACAATAATTACATTAAACAGAATCATATTAATTTGTATATGTCGAGTTAGTAATACATATTAATTTCGAACGATTTCAAGAGTAGTTGACATATCAAATTCATGAAATCATGAGTTTTTTTAATCATCATTATCATGAAAAAATTAAAATATTTAATTATTAAATAAAGCCAAAAAAGGAAGTTTGCTTTTTTTTGATTCATGATTGCAGATGATGATTACTACAAGACCTTAACATAAAGAGGTGATTTCATGTCTTTGGTATCAAGTGTGCTGCTGGGCTCAATTTTGTCAAATTATGTTCATTTGAGGGGCAAGTTTGTAACTTCAAAGGGCCTGAATGACTAATTATGGAATAATCACATTGCAATGGTTGGTTCCCAGTCCTAGTTACTGACCAAAATAGGTTGAATCAAAGCACCAATATTTTTGAAGCTGATTGATCTGCACGACATTTCAGAGGCATGAATTAGTGGGAATTGGGTGTGTTTCAACTTTCACTATCTTATGTTGACCAGCCCAACCCAGGCAGATTTGAGTTTTCATTAGACTTTTACCACCCATGGAGGATCAAGATCCTCTACGCTTCTTCCTATTTCGTTTTTCAATGAAGAAAGTTCCCGTAAAACTCTTTTGTTTCATAAAAATTCATTATAATTTTACGAAGTAAATAACATTTCTTATTGATTTTGTCTCTTGGATTGAACCTATTTTGATTCATTAAATCTTCTGAATTTTGATTAAGTTCAATTTGAGAGAGAGAGAGCAGTTCTCATTTATGTCATCATCAATTGAGATCCATTCCGATACTAGATTTCTTTCATGTTAGATCATCAACTATGACCTGTGAAATCCATTATATTCAATTGAATCCTTTACCAATACAAGATTGATTGTCACGTGAAGAGAGAATCGAACTTTTAGCCTAACAAATAGCACCGGCCTACTTGCAGCACATTGTTTCATGTTCATACAAACATTTCTAGCACAAAAAAAAATAAAAAAAAAATAGAGAAGAGCACAACTTTATCTATGTAAAAGGGAACCATTACAAAACCACTAAAAGAGTCAAGAAACTAGTTGTAGTGTTTGGCTTTAACAATAAAGGTGAAGAGAACATGCCCAAGGAAAACACTGGTCCATATTTTCGGCCTAGTTTTGAGGCCAACTTTTGGCCTCCACGCAAAGTGTGAGGAAGAAGTAATTAAATATTGGGGAAAAGTAGCCATAATTTTGGACAATATAGTCAAAATTGGGGACCCCAATTTCCCCATTTTCAGGCAATTTAAACTGCCCTTTTATTGATGTGTGGGCTTAGGAAAACTCCAGTGGGGTCACCAGATGTACACCCTAATGTTCTCACCCCACCCACCCAGGTCACTTCTACGGGTGTTCTACTATCCGAAAATCAGACTTCGGTTGACTTCTACTTTCGTTGGAATCGGAGTTAGGGGAAAAAACTCAGACTCCGACTCCGATCAAAGAGTTGGAGTTGAAATTTGAAATCCTTTCCGAAAAAACTCTAATTCCGACTAATATATTTTTTTTCCTTGTACCTGGTGGACAATCAGAAATAGGCAAAGGACTCCACTCTTAGTGCGACAGCTGCATATAAGCTGATGGGAATACCCTCCAGTTTCTGCCTGAGCTTTTTTTTTTTTTTCCTCCTCTTTCTTTTTGTTTGTTTTCCCACTTTATTATTGCTTATTGACATATTTCATAAAAGCATAATGTCTTATTCTAAGATATAGTTTGATTTTCAAAATGCCGAGCTCCAATCTACAACATTTCAGTGGCAAGAAATGGTGATAAGAAACTTTGTTGTTCAAATTCTTTCAAGGCAAAGATGATTATATTAATCATAAATGGGAATAATTAAAATTCTAATATCCTTTTTGCAGTTGGACGAAATAATATATATAATATTTCTTTGAATTTCCAAGGGTATATTTACATTAAAATACACCTAAATGGCACGTACTAAAGGACATATTATTCATTAGTCTATTAGCTTCAACTTACCAAGCCTAGAGATGCTTGTTCTCTTTTCAGAAATCATATTTTCCATCATGCATTGCTCTTTATGGAAGCATAGGAGGCTTTCATTGGAGCTCTCAATTATATAAAGCATTCATTATATAATGAGCCGTGACAACATATTTCTTACCAATATACCCTTCTAAACTTTGATTTTGCTTTGTGTTTTGGACTACTGGAAGACACACATGGATGTTGAATTATAAGCAGGTAAGGGTGTTCAAAATTCTGCCCACCTGACCTCTTCCACAATATTTCGATCCTATCTTATTCTATCCTACCTGATAACTCGACTTTTGCATTTTTTACCAACTAATGGAAGGTTTTTTTAGTATTCTATAAATATAACCCATAAAATTTTTGTATTCCTACTCAATCTGCATTTATATTTAATTTTTTTTTAAAATAATGTGATATAAAATAACGTCAACGACATCGTTTAAGAAGCATATGACTTGTGATTATTTATGATATTTTAGACTAGAAAACATATTAATTAGACTTATCGTGTTTTTTTTAATTTTATTAGTTTATTGTATTTGTTTACATATTTTTATAGTATATTTTAACAGTCTAGTTATAAAAATACCAAAAAATTTGCAAATTAAATTGTTAAAATAACCCAAAAATTAATTACTTAAAGTTTGAAAATTTGTAAGACATTCTGCATTCCTAGCTGACCTTCCTTCCAAGCTGTTTTTTTGGACGCAATTCACCTTGGAACATTACCCTCAATCGGATAAAGTCAACCAAAGAAATAGTCTGCAACAACTCATTGGCTCGGAACATGAAATCCAAAAACCCCTTCCTGTCAACTCAACTAAACAGCCCTATCCAGCAGGGTAATGAGCTAATATCCTCACCAACTCAAGTGTTGAGGATCTACTCTGTTAAGACATGACAACACATGATACTGATTGCATTAATCCACCCTACTTCGTACTTGGCCCTCGATGTCTTCAAATGATTACATTCCCCCGAGATTCCTTTGATTCTATACTTGGTGCTCATATATATATAAACGTCGAGGTAAATGATTTTTACAAACTATAGGATTTACGTGCAATACACGTCTACACTTACTAGTATATATAGATAAATAAGGAGGTAAGATTTCTCAAGCCCTTTTTTTTTGCATAATGCGATTCGTTCACATATACACATAAATTTGCATGTACACAGATTCAGGACAAAGATTGGCAGTTTAAAATAATGATGTGAGTTCAGTTAAAAAAAAAAAGGAATTAATGGTGCAAGTATAACAACATTAAAGTAACAATTTTGAATAATAGAAGCTGTAATATTATTATTTTTTTTTTTATCAAAGGCATGCACATATAAACACACATAAGATGAAGCTGTAATAATTCAAGATTGCATTCTAACTGTAATAATCCAATATTTTTTTTTCTCTATTTTCCTTCTTTGTAAATCACATACCTTGAATTCAAGTGAGATCAATCATACATAAGTGAGTCTCTCTCTCACTCGTTAATGATAAATGATTTTATCAATAAAAAAACAAGAGGAAAAAAGTATCAAAGAGGACCTAAAAGCAGTAATGCAGTAAAGGATTTAACGTAATTAAAAAAAAAAAAAGACCAGATAAAGCATATAGATTTATTAGCTATAATAAGGATTATTTAGAAAAACTTAACTGCTAATAAAAGCGTTGCAAGATACCTGTCGTCTAGATCAAGGATTGAATGAAACTTCATCTCCCCCGATAGGTGCCTAACCTTTTGATTTAAAAGGGTCGAAACATAAAAAAAAAAATTCATATATTTCTACTTCTACATATCAGTTTGATGTAGAAGGTATTGCATTGGTACATAAAGAATTGTAGTAGCAACAAACTTCTTTCATATAAGAGAAATAGTAACCAAAGAGACATACAAGGCTACAATACATGAGTGTTGATTGACAAGTTGCATATAACTTACGGAGCCTATGAAAGTGTGATAAAATGTTCCAAAGAACTAACCAAACTCGGAGGCCAATGCTTTGTTTCTCTTACGTACGAGAGGTCTGTATAGTGAGGATCAAGAAGAGTTGCGATTGTAAATTGGTTTTCTGCCAGCAGTAGAGCATGCTTATCCACATATAGAGCTGCCGCTAGAGCTGCATGCACTTCTGAACCCCCCCCTCCCCCCCAAAAAAAAAAAGCAATTAGAGAAAAACAAAATGAGATCTGATGATCATTCGCTTTGACCACGGAGTGATTTCCAATTGGTGTACATCGTTGCATAATCGGGGAATGTAAAATAATGAAAATACCTGGATATCCTTTTAAAGATATTGAAACATCCTCCATCTCCGCTATTGCCTGGCCCCTGTCACCAACCTCATACAAGGCTATTGCTCTTCCCACTCTAGCATATTCTGTAAGTGCCAAGTCTTTGTAATTTACGACCACCTGAAATAGTAAAAAAAATCATGCCAACTGTATTCTCCACATATTTTCAACAATTGTTAGATCAGGAAAAAGTTCATGTCAACTGTAGAAATCATGACATGGATTTTTGACATACTATGTTCAACCAACCGTAGTTCCATAAGTTAATAGACAACTTATGCATTTTTATGTCATCGACATGTTATGTACTCTGTTTATACTGTATACTATCACTATCATCATTCTTTTCTTGGGCTAAACTTCTATGCGATAGTTGGATGATTTTACAAGAAATCAAAACATATAGATTTGGGTAAAAAGCATATAGCTTTCCCACATAGGAAACACTTCGAATCACATGCCGATGGGAATCTATCTATTATTTTGAAGATGCAAACTAGGCATAGCAAAGATTCTCAAGATGGAATGTGAATATGTATGACAAAATTGTAGTGTCATACAGGATAAGACATATCTTCATAAAGGATAATTTGACAATCCAAATTTATCAATGATCCAGCTCTAGAATTTGGAGATTAGACGCAAAACTTATGCAAACATCTATGCCAAGTATACAGACTCAAGTCCACTTAACAGGAGTTAAATTAAACTTGTCATTGCAGGAAATTCAGTCATTTGATCAGAAAGTACCTTATTGGTAACATAACAATGACAGACACAGCGGCAGGTCTAGAAATCTAACTTTACAAGAAAAGAAAAGGAGGAATGCCTTACCACCAAAGTTCTACGGATATTGAGAAATCATCTTTTAATTGTCATTATGCAATGGTGTTTTAATGTAGAATACTCATGGAGTCTAAAGTATACTAATTCAGCAAGGAGCTAAAAGGAAAACTAGGAAGATTTATAAATGATAATGGATATATTTGTAGCTCAAAGTGGATAGAATTATAGGATTTTATTCCACATCTCCTTATATTAAGGAAAATGGATGAATATATCACAGTTTCTGACCTAAGTGCTCTTCGGAGCAGAAAAGCTGTGTCATTTTCAAGTATGAGAAAGCAATCCAAGTAACCGCAATCCAGAAGCTGTAAGAGCAGTTAAGGCTTTTCAGTTCAACCATAAGCCTGGCAAAGAGAATGGCAGGCATCCACAATTGATGTAAAAATATAGCTGACAAGGAAGGTCTATCATCCCCATACGACATTTTCACTATAGTCATTTATATCCACTGGCATATCCCTTCAGCTGACGATGATGAAATCAAGGAAAAATAATAATATAATCTTTCAAATAAACTTGGTACAAAATTTGCAGGCAGAACCAAAGACAAATATCAGGGAAGGAAAAGATCCTCTGGCCTTCCCCAGCGGAGGACCTTGTTATTTTGAAAAGCCATTTGTCAGAATTAGAAATAAAAATAAATACATGCTCCTATGAAATGAAAAAACCAAGGAAAGAGTCCACCAACCTTGAGATTCATACTAGAGTTTCGAATAAAACCAGTTAGAGAAATTCATCCTAAATAGCCAAATGAAACATGATACAAGTACAATCAACTTCGGATTTTAAAAGGTGCCAACATTGAAGAATCAAAATTTTATTTCGGCGCATTATTTTGGTCACCTTGGAAACAAAAACGTTTAAAAAATATTTAAGAAACCGAATAAATCGGAAAAAAATTAAAAATCTGTTACTGCAACATTATGAAACATTTGTTTTTTTTTTTTTTGAACCGCTGAAACATTTGTTAAAACATGTCAAAACACATTGAAACATTCCAAAACACCTCAAAACTTAGGAATTACAATATTGGATCACTGGTTCATTTTTGGTTCCCATGGAAACGGAACGTTCCGGCGGTTTCAAAATGAAAGTTTGGTCCATGCCATCATGCTCAAGCTAAGACAAGGCTTTCAATAAGCCGCCCTTTCAGGAGATAGGAATTATGGAGTGTACTGGAAAATAGTTAAAGGTAACAATTGGCCTAGGACAAAATACATTTTGCATCCTTAAGTATGCCCCTGGTTTATATTGGTCCCCGATGTTCCAATTGCACTAATCAAATCCTCCAAGATCAACATTATTTCAATTATCTTATCTGTTGATATTATTCCCCCGCCCCAATTGCGAAATATGCTTAAACCTATTGCATGACAAAAAAAAAAAGTTACCAGACATACCTAAACCATTTGCCAGACAATGCCCAATCACTCATATTCTCTCTCTCTCTCTCTCTCTCTCTCTCTCTCTCCCTCTCTCTTTGAGCTGACTCCACCACCATCCCCATCGAACGCAACTAACCCCCACCTCGATCTCTAGGTTTCTCCTTCCCCCTCTCTCCAGCAACTACCTACTTCAACAACTCCCCGAGGAACCATAACACTGGCTTTCCTATGGACAACGTTCCTTTAAATGGTGCGTTGACTCTCCATTTAAAGTTTATGCAAAGAAGAAAAAGGGGCTACAGGTAAGTGCCACAATTGCTATTCAAGGAATTGGAACATCCCTGACTTTTGTTTCTTACAAATGATCATGCGAGACTGCGTCTGAGGTACAATAGACCAAAACATGGTGTAAAGGTAAATACACAATTACACAAAGGGGGATGACAAACTTTTTTGTAGCAAGGACTACCATTCTTTAGATAAAAGAATGAAAGGAGAGAGATCACCAATGAGAAAAGTTAAAATTCATATATTGGAATTAAGGGAATTGGTATTCGTTTGTGTACTGATTGATTGAGCTCAAAGGCGAGAAAGGAAGTGGAAATAACTCCACCGAATTTCTTGCTTTACTAATTGCATCTATTAAAGTCATTCCACCCGTAGGCTTAAAAGAAAGCATTTTTATATCCCAAACCTCTACTCGCATTAGTTCTACTAGTCTTCAAAGTGTCATAGTCACCTTCGCTCGCTTGAGGGCTAATGTTCTTTAGTACTTCCTTCTAAGCCAACTCACCGACTACTGTTTCTCCTTCTCCAACCGCTTATAGGCAGACAGATATGAAACACAGATACTTCGTCAACTTCGACGCTCATCAGATACTCGATGATACGTATCAGATACGCATCATCTGTATCCGATAATTAATAAAATATGCAGATACTTCGCGGATATTTATAAACAAGAAGCAAGATGTACAATTATCAATTTTAAACTATACCCCCTTCTTTGGAGTTCACATACAATATAAAATATCAACAAAATTTCAACTGATTTTGAAGACATGAGTGTTTTTTAAGTACTATCCATTATTACATGTTAAAAATGTATAAAAAAAAATGAGTCACTTACACTATAATTTTAAAAATAAATACTTGCAAACAAACCATAGTTAAATGTGGTTATAATTCATTCAATTAGTCATGCTCATTTTATGAACATATCATAATGAAACCATCATTTTTATGGTAAAAATTCTTACTAATGTTAAAGAATTATTGAAAAATTGTAATTTCTAAGTCATTAAATAATAGTAAAATAAAAAATATATTTTATTATAGACGTATCCTAGCCGCACCTGTATCCTTTTTTTAGAAGTTTTGTCATATCATTCGTATCCATATCGTATTGTACCTATGTCACGTATTCGTATCTATGCTTCCTAGGCAGACAGGTATCGTCCACGGAACCTGCTCCATTTCATATTGCTCTACACCTTATTATTTATAACATATGAGTAAATTATAATATGACTCAACCCAACTAACAATAAATAAGAACTCTTACAATTCGCCTCAAGTTGGAGTATAAAGATTAAAGATGTCCCAACTTGGAACAAAGATTATTGAAGACAAAGTGAACCAATGGTTTGGTAAGGATGTCACCCAGTCGAGCACTAGACTTGATATATAGTGTGATAATCTCCTTGTGCATCAAGAGATTTCGAATAAAATGATAGTCCACTTTGATGTGTTTTGTCCTCTAACGAAATACTGGATTACTAGCAGTGAAAATAGTTGTCTGGTTGCCCCGATGCATCTCTGCAGGACAAGACACATCGATACTCATATCATGAAGGAGAGAACAAACTCACATCATCTCACACGCAGTATATGCTATAGCCCGATATTCGGCCTTTACACTCGAATGGGCAACCACACTATGTTTCTTGCTATGCCAAGTAACAAGATGGTCATAAAGAAAATATAGTAACATGAGGTAGATTGTTTATCAACACAACTACTTGCCTAGTCAGCATCAGAGAAGCCAATAACAATCATGGATGATGAAAGACGATATAATTATCCTTTTCCTAGTGCTCCTTTCAAATATCGAAGAATGCGACATACAACTTCCCAATAAGGCTTACAAATAGCGTGCGTGAACTGACTAACCACACTAATAACATAGATAATATCAGGCTACGTAAGTGTCAAATAAATTAACTTATCAACCAATCTCCGAAAGCGTCCTATATTATCAAAGAGTTTACCACTTTCAGCATCTAACTTCATTGTAAAGTTCATAAAAGTATCAGGACGTGTACCAAGAGTCTCAATCTCAGATAATAAATTCAATACATATTTTCGCTGACACAAACTGATACACCTTTTGACCAAGCAAACCTTGATACCAAGAAAATATCAAAAAATACCTGAATCTGTGGTATGAAACTGCTTTCCTAAACGGACCTTGAAGTGGACAATACCATCAAAGTCATCACCTCTAATGATAATGTTATCAATATAAACAATAAGAATAATAACACCTGTGTGGAAGAATGACGAATAAAAATTGAATGGTCTGAAGTAGAACAATGAAAACCATACTGAAGTACAAAAATACTGAATATCAAACCAAGCATGTGGGTGATTGTTTCAAGCCAAGTAGTGCTTTCTTCAATTGACACACTAACTGTTCCTAACCAGATACACATAAAATGGAGGTTGTACCATAAATACCTCCTCCCGCAAGTCTCCATATAAAAAAAACATTCTTGATGTCTAGTTGATTCAAAGCCCAATTACAACTTACTGCAACAGAAAAAAAGAACTCTAACAAAGTTAAGACGAAACATGAGAAAAAGTGTCAGAATAATCTACACTATATATCTGAATGTAACCTCTGGCAACTAGACGAGCCTTTAAATGCTCAACTAGACTATCGGGATGATAATTTACCATGTAGACCCAACGATTGTTTACTAGAAAGAAAGTAATAAGATCCCATATGTGATTCAACCAGGAGATGTCAATGTCTGGGTCAAAGAACTAGGAACAAATACCGAAGACAAAGTCATTGCAAAACAACGAAAATATAGTGAAAGCCAATGCAAATAAACAAAATTAAAAATAGGATATTTTGTACATAAGAGAATGGAGACAAGGTTACGGAACACTCTAACAATTTAGTCAACTAACTCACAGATAACAAGTTAAAGAAAAAATTAGAAATAAGGTAACGAAAGAGGTTAAGTAGCCACAACTACAAAATTACCATCATTAGCAAGGCTTGTACTAGAAACAAAAAAATGTGGAGAAAGTAAAGATCATTGTTAGATGAGCTAACGGAGCTAATGTTCTAGAGAACCCGAGGTATTCTTATAAACCTTATTGACATATATTGGTCTCCCATACTTATCCCAACAATAATATTCGGTATGTCTCGTGCTACCACAATAAGTACACTTCCACACATAATGATGGCCACTACTAAAACGACCACCACAATTACCCCAAGTCAAAGTCATCATAGAGAGGTCCACAATTAATTATGGATGGTCAAACCAAGAAAGGAAGGATAAATTGAATCACTTGGTTGCAAATCAAAGGAACAATAGCTTGGATTATACAAACGCTCAACAGATCGAGAAAATAGACCTTCCGAACTAAGGAACCAACGCAAAACTGTCAAAGAATAACTAATTTGAGGCTAGAATACACTGAACTAGCCAAATGAGGACCAAAAACGCCACTGAAAACACTGAATCGGTCTAACAAACCACCGAACCGGCCTAACAACCCACTGAACCGGTGCTGGAAAGCCCTGAACCGGACTGATTTTGACTAAACTCGTCCTTAAAACCCCTAGATTGTTTATGCTTGAACCGGTGTTGGATGACCCTAAACTGGACTGGTTTTGAATGAACTGGGGCTAACAAATAGGTTGGCAATGTTCTAGCAAAGATGGAAAAGAAGAAGAAGATGAATCAAAGGAGTAAGGCTGCTGGAGGCTAGAACCGGTAAAGAAAACACCTAAACCGAGATGAACTGAACCGGCCTGCAGTGGACCGAACAAAGGCTGAATGACCCGATCTAAACACTTACTAGGTTGGGCCTCAATTAAAACTTATGGACTGGGTTTGTTCCTTCCTAGGAAGCACGGATACTCCACCGAAGGTCGCAGTGGTGGTACATGTCCGACACGGATACGCGTTAGACACGACCGAACACGTGTTCGATATTTTTACAAGTGTCCTGAACAGTGATCAAGCTGTTTTGTAGACGGAAACGGCTCAAATACGGGAGGGATATGGCTACAGATTGAAACCACAAAAAAAAAGGGGTAGAAGATGTTACAGACCTGAGATCAGCCACAAATGTCATCTTCCTCTACTTATACTACTCGCCACAGACCTGAGATCAAACAAGGGTACTTTGGGATTCTTCTTCCTGATGCTTCTAAAGGCTTGATACCATCAGATCTCTCATAGATCGGCTTGATGTGATTGGCTCTCTATCTCTGTGAGATTGGTGTGATCAGCTTGCTCTAGATGCTCGCAACATCGTTCTCTTTCTATGCGATTCGTGTGATCGATTTGCCCTAGAGCACTCGCAACATCGTTCTCTCTCTGTCTGTCTCTTCGTTATGGTGGTGTGGTATGGTGTCCCCGAACAATTAGATTTCTTATTAGTCTAGCCCACAACCCATTACGTTTAGCTCCCCCCAATTCATTGCTTATAACATTTAACCCACTTTTTAAATTTAATATTAACTCGTTTGTCCATTTATAACATATTAATTAATTCTACAATTTTATTATTAATGTTATTATATATATAAAAAATATTATATTATTTTAATTAATCGTAACCTCGTCGTACCCGTGTCCTATATTTTAAATTTTGTCGTATCCTCGTATCAATATCGTATCGAATACGACACCCGTGTTCATATCCATGCTTCCTAGATTCCTTAGTAAAACTTTTGGACTGAGCTAACCCTTCAGTTAAACTATTGGACTGGGTTGGGGTTCAAGTTACTACTACCTAAGGTTGGGCTCAAAAAAAGTGAAATCGGGTTGGAAAGCTGACCCGAGAAGTCGTCCTCTTCGCAGAGGCTTCGAACAAGCAAAAAAAAAACGAAACCCTAGCCACTCACTAGGCAACAACCAACGATCACCACAGCCACTCACTGTGAAAACAACCAACGATCGCCACAATCTTGCAACACACCAATGATCCACGACTTCACTGTCAACAATTCAAGTAACAATCAACAATTCAAGCAACAACCAGCAATTCCAACATCTGATGACAAGTCCATTAACAAAATAAGATTTGGAGAGCAGAAAAATATATTCTACAGGAACTCAGTAACTAAATTAGCATTCAACGCGCACAAAGAATCAAGCAACAACAAGCCCAATCACTGCAACAAATTCATTGTGTTTGATACCACATTGTGTCGTTGTCAACCACAATGGCACAGTGGTTGAGAAAAAAAAAATAAAAAAAGATGGATGTAAACTCAAAATTAATTTGCTTTGATACCAAGTTAAAATTTAAATAATTAAATATTAGGGTTTAGATTTAGGAAGGAGAGAAAGAAAAGAAGAAAGAGAGAGAGAGAGATTGAGGAAAATAATGTGTGCATAAGCTCATGTTGCTCTACACCTTCTTATGAGTAAATTACAATATTACCCAACAAAACTAACAATAAATAAGAACTCTAACAACAAAGAAAAAATCTCCTTCAAAGTCAATAGGATAATAGGGCACTAACGGGCTGCTCAATGCCATTAGAAGAATTGACTTTTGGTATCAACATGAACCTTCTTCCACTAATTTTGGGATGGTTGATACAATGATTAAGTTAGAATGCCGCATGATTACTTGAAGCTCCCAAGTTACATATCACATTGACCATAATTCATCATTGAAAGTACCTCTCAAAGAAAGTGAGTGTCATGATCAGCCCTAGCAAACACTGCTCAATGTACTCGCACATATATTTAGCTATGTGATTCAATAGATGTCATTCCAAAACCAACTACCCTTTCATGTGCAAAACAAACTTGTACAAGAAATGTAATAGCCGTGATTGTTGGAAAGTTCCTTGATATTTGCGAGGTAAGTCTTATAATGAAGGAGTTAAACAACCCCACCCCCCATCCCCCCCAAAAAAAGAAAAAAAAAACCTTTTCACTTTCACAACAGCCCTATAATTTGGATTTTGATACTAAGGATGAAATCAACATTATTTTTAGTAATGTGACCATGATTTTACCTCCAAGACCATAGACCAAAGTAGGATACACTTAAAGCATGAAAGCAAAGCTTCCATTGATTTGCAGAAATATTATTGCTTTAATATCTATCTAATATTACATATAGGAAGTTGAATTCTCAACTTATAAAAATAAAATAGTGGTCAAGATTGATCTAATTTTTATCCACTCCGATCAAATGGTATAAAATTCACAAACAAATCAATCAACACACCCCCGCTAATCTACACCTACCACTCTCTTTTCTCTCCCCAATCTCTTTCTTCAGGCACGAGGTTATTGCTAGTAATTTCACTAAATAAAATGGAAATCATAAATGCGGTCATGGCATCTTTAGGGCCGCAATGATTTTATAAAGAAATTCCCCAACAAATTAGATCTCATATTAACAATTATCTTGAAAACCATACAGAGCCTAAATGGATACCTGAGTGAAGTACTCGAGAGCCTGATTAAAGTCACCCTGAGCCTGCAGTTCCCTCGCTCTCTGCAGCAACTCCACAGCTTCAGCGACTTTCCGCGAGACCGCGGCGCTGGCGTCTCTCTCGGCTGGGCTCACTGGGTCGAAGATGGTAAGAGCCGAACACCAAGAACGGAATTGAAATGTAAGAGAAAAAGGGAGAGAGAATATCAACAAATTCCTCCTTGATATTGTTGGCGGGACACTAGAAGAGATGATAATGGGTTTTGAAAGGGTCTTTCGAAGGTCAAGTTTTGGGGTTTTAGAGGAATTAGGGTTTTTGCTGTGGTTTTGGGAAGTGTGGAGAAGAAGATGGGAAATGGTTGCTGTACATGCACCCATTTTTTTTGTGGGGTGGCGGTAATGCAGGGTTTGGTTTTCTCTGTCCAGATTTATTGTTTGTGTTCGTGGTAAATTTGAACTGATTTTCAGTTGGGACGTGTATATAAGGGAAAAAAAAAAGATTAATGGTACATGTAATTAAAAAATAAATTTAAAAATTAAACTTAAAATCAAAACTATTAGGTCTGAATAAATATTAAGACTCGCATATTATAATTATTAAATCTAATTTTTAAATTTATATAAAATTGCTAAAAAAAATGAGACGATTACATTGATATCAAATTTAAAGTTACGATTTTGACTACTTTATTTATCAATTTCTCATATTTTATCATATTTATTTCTACTCTACCTTTTAAAATAAATTATATAAATGACCTTTAATTATGACATTTGGGTTGATGAAGCTCTTAAATCATTTTTTTATATTAATATAGTCTCTTATATATTTAATTTCACTTCATGTTCCCTTTTGTCCAAATTTTTCATCAATTAAAGAGAATACCTCGTGTGTAAAGCACATGACTCAAAAATTAAGAGTGTTTAAGATCTCATTCGTGATATACACGTAAGTTGTTTTGTTAAAGTTAATGGTGACTTCAAATAGAAGGAGTACATTACGTCATAATGAATAACTAATTATTGTATATGTCTGAAGACACAAAGTAATAAAAAATGGTAAACAATAAACATATTTATTTTCATATTCAAAATTAAATCATAAATATAGAGAAAAAATAAAAGAATTTAAGTATCGACTTGTAGTAGGGATGAGAGGTGGTAGACAACAGTGGTAGACAACAGTGGTGATAATAAGAGACGGTGATGACAGCGACGACAACGGTGGTGGTGGCGATGGCGATAACGGCGGTGGTGATGGTGGGGTGGGGGTGGTGGTGGCAGTGGCAGCAGGGGGGTGGTGTTGGTGTTGGTGGTAGCGATGACAGTAGTGGTGGAGCGGTTTCAAACACTATTTTTTTAAAAGTGTTTATGAAAAATAATTTTTAAAATTACTTTTAAAAAATTACTCCAAAGTCCAAATACACCCTTAGAAACTTATATTTTTTTTATTAAATTTAGAATGTTAATATTAGTTGTTAGATTAATTTTAAAGTTAAATTTAAAATGATCTTAACCGCGAATAACAAAAGTCATTTTATTTATTTTTGAAAATTTGAATTATAAACTATTTTATTATATAGAGTGAGAAGCTAAAATGATATACAAATTAAGTCAGGAATGTAACCAACACAAATGGAGTAGTATAGTAGCTGTTTATGAAATTCACTCGACAGCTTAAAATCATCAAAGTTACCAATTAAATGGTTTAAATTGAAACTCAAAAAATTATGACTAATTTTTAAATATTAAAATTGCTCATGAAAACTATAATATTTTGAAATCAATTATGAATTAGTTATAACCTTTTTCTTTATAAGGTGTGATTTAACTTTTAGCGATAGGAAAGTATTTGAAAAATGCCCAGTTCTGATGATTTGACCAAAAAATTTAAAGTTCAGTTGCAAAAAGGTTGCTCTGAATATCTATTCATGTTTTGTCAGATATTCAAATTTCTCTAATTCATTCTGCTCTTAAATTGAAAACAAAACATACTCCATACAAAAAAACTACTGTCAATAGTGCAGTTTGGCAGAGATAAATTGCTATCTTCAAGCCATTTTGAGAGGCTAATTTTTGAACTCGAACCTGTAATATTTCGCTATATCCAACGACTGCTTGTTATCGTCTTAAATCTAACCTCATCTCTGTGTTGTTAAATAGGATAAGAAACAATTATAGAGTTTTTTGAAGAATCCTTTACAAGAGAGCATTAGGACTTGGCCAGTATCACTAACCAAAATCACAGCCCTACTTCTATACAACCGGCAAGGAAATGAAACGTAAAACTTCATTGATTCTCTCCAGACCTTGACATGATCTAAAATAGCATTCCAACTACACAAATAACAATCTGGTAGGGTTCCACAAACTGTTCCTTAATATATACATTATAGGACCCTGGATTTAAAATTGGAGCTGACCACATTAGTCAAAAAGAAATTTGTGTGAATGTTCTGATTGAAGAACGTCAGCAACAACTGCTTGACGATGTATCAGGTTGTGGTGGCTTCTGTTTGAAGATGTTCTTTTTCAAAACCTTGGATCCCTCAGCCAAGAGGCTGGGTGTATCTAAAATCTGCAAAAGATGATCATTCACTTGTGCACATCATTCCCATATCAAGATACGCAAGCCTTAAATGCATATACACAATGTGAGTACGTGAATAAGTGGCGGCTTTGGGAAACTTTTCCAGTTGAGTCAATAAAAACTTAAATAATTTTCACTCTTAATCAATATCTAACATATTTTTCCTGTAAATTGACAAAATTCATGCTTAATGCTAGACACTGATGTTAGGCCAAGAAGTAAGAGGAATGAAATACTATAAAAGAACATTCAAAACAAAGTAGTGAAATATGTAGAAGAAATAAACAATAACTTAAAAGGGTTGGGGGTCAAGATGAATTGGGCGCAGTCACTCTACTTTAGTTTTTTTTTTTGCTTCATGTGATCTGAACTCTGTTAGCATTAAGATATTATTCTCTTCCAATTCTTGTTAGTTGCTCTGCCAGTCATGTTGTTCTCTTTCAACACTCGGTATGAAAATTGGCTATAATAAACCATACTGAACACAAATCAAGAAATATATGCATAATAAATAAGGATTGTTAAAAAAAAAACTCAAAAAAATTATAATGACAAAGGAGCACTTACAACAAATGGTGAGACAAATGGACAAAGCAACGAAAAAGCTGACGGACATATTCCAACTCCAACAATAAAGTAGAGGATTTTTTGTTTGACTTTTGTTACAAACTTAAGAGTTCCAATGTGGTAGAAAAATCTATATCTATATTACTAATAAAAGTACAGTAATAAGAACCACTTTTAATTTCCAAATTTACCCTTAACTAATGTTATAATGTCAATCATATCTATAACATTTTATTTTTCATTTAATTTTAAACTAATTATTATTTTATCTTTCATTTGAATATTAAACTTTTACACTTCCTTTTATCTATCATTTAATTTTAAATTAATTAATTTTTAAATATCTATCCACTTTTGTTACTCCCTTTCATTTAATTATAAATTAATTAATTTTTAATAATCCACCAGCTTTTACTCTTCCCCATAATAACAAGTTTTATCATCTTCATATATTCATGAACCATTAAGTATAAATATCTTCAAAGCATATGAATTTGCATCCTTATTTCTTTTTGAAATTCTCTCTCTGTCTCTGTCTCTGTCTCTCTCACACACACACAAAAAAGTTAGTATACTATTTTTGTGATCGAAAAAAGAGAAAATTAGGATAATGTAGCAAATAACCTTTTTGTTCTACAGAAATATTAAGTCTTATTTATCCATAGAAAATCACCCAAGGACAGAACGAGAAGCATAATAACCCTTTTCATTTTCTTCCACTATATTTACAATGTATGATATTTTTTAATTATGCAACATGATATTGATGATATAAAATACATTCTAATATGAGGTTATAGTTAACTTAATCATATATATGCTCATAGATTTAATAATACTTTTTACTACCTAAATTTGTTCAAGTGGTGCATGCTAGTATATACACAAATATACATATATACATACTATAGAATATATGTAGAGAGAGAGAGAGAGAGAGAAGAGAAAGACAAGGGGAAGAATGACCAACTTGTACATGAGTGAAGAGAGAGAGAAGAGTTCTTATATAAAGGGTGATCTGTTT